CTGCTGAAGAGAGCAGTCTGAACACGCTGCCTAAAAATGGGGAGAGGCTGACGTTACCCTTAGGTTCCTGTCATATATCCTTGGGGGGAATTTTTAGTCTTTTGTAGGCTTGCTGACTTTGAGAAGGCAGTTTGCATTGCCTTCAGCAGGGATGGAGCTGCAGCCCTGTGCTCTTCAGTGTCACCCATTCCCTCAGGCACCAGTCCTGTCCCATCCACTGCATCCCCAAACTCTGCATCACTCTGTTCCCATGGACATCCCAGGGCTCTGTAGCCACTGCCAAGTTTTGGGTTGGTTTTGCCCACTTATTTCAAAAGATTCTATCTTGTTTTTCACAGATTCAACACTTTAGTATTGAAATATTTACAGACATTTTATTTATGGGACAAACTTGGAGTGGTGCAATGGAATCTGCCTGTTTCTGTAGATATGAGTGTCCTTGCTCACCTGTGGCAGAGCTGATCAAATTGCACAGTGATCCTGAGGTTTGCCCCTGTAACTGGTTAGGGTGTTTTATGGAAAGGTGACATAAAGGGGTAGATTTGATCCATCCAAACTGTGAAGAATTCCATGCCGTTTGGGAAAACAAGAGATAAAGCTAAAGGGGTGTTTTATGGAAAGGTGACATAAAGTGGTAGATTTGATCCATCCAAACCGTGAAGAATTCCATGCCATTTGGAAAAACGATGGATAAAGCTTAAAAAAAAATAGATTCACAGACTTGAGTGAGCTGCTTAAGAATGAACAGGGATGTGGTGGATGGAAATGTAACAGCAGGAAGTTACCAGTGACGTTTCTTGAGAATGATTCTTGGTGCTAATCTTGTTTAATGCTTTTACAAGCAATTCTGGCACAAAGAGCACACTAAAACCCTGATGATGATGTAAAGTTGGGAGGCTGAAGATATGCAGCAGAACTAGATGTCCTTGAAGGCTACAGTAAGAGAAACAGAGGATGAGTTACATCAGAAAAACTGTAAAATTACATATTTGGAGAATAAAATCCTCTTGCTGTAATTGCAGGTTTGTTAAATGGAGGGACCTGAGTAGGGTGACCACACATAGTGTGGCTGTGGATAAGGTCAACATAGTGTGTGCAAACAGGCAGGATCAGGGAAGAGGTAAGAGAGTACAAGTGCTGTGGTTCAAGGCACTAGTAAAATTTCCTGAGTGTATAATTAGAGTCGCTCATGTGGAGGAGTTGAGGCCAGAACAGGTGCAGAGAATGAATGGGGAGCCTGACCTGGACAGAACCCACTGAGCGTGGCCTACTTAGTGTACCAAAAGGCCAAGAGTTGTGATTGATGTCTTGAAGTGCATCAGAAGTAAATTACTCTTCCCCTCCTCTGATATTTAGGTGTAAGGGCAGTATTGGTTCAGGACCAAGTAAACAGACCATTAATAAATTGAGATGGAAACTAGAGGAAGGTTGATGACTATCTGAGCTGGGACTTTTCTGTTCCTTCTGCTCTTGGAAGGGAAAGCTAGATCCTAGCAGGTGTTAAAGGTAGAGTTGTGCCTCCTTCCATGTTCCTTGAGAAGACAGGTTTGCTCTAGAAAAAGCAGAAGAGTTTCATGCTTCTGGCATTGCCACTAACTTTGCCAGTAAACTGTTGTAGAGAAAAGAACATATGGGTGCCTCTCCTTGACTGTCCACAGAGAGCGTTGAGTCAAATATGGGAGGGATAGAGGAATGTGTGAGTCATCTGATGTCCATTGCTTTAGAAACACTTCAGAACAGGATGTACATGAGGTCAGGCCTTCACGTTTGAATTTTGAGAGGGACAGGTGGGTTAACATACAACTCGTGTTACTCCTTCTTCCATTGATCTCTCAGTGACTCTGCAGTTTTTGCTTGTGGTGGAACTCTGCTGGTGCTTCAGCTGTAGGGTGAGCAGTTTAGGAAGTGGTTGAGGGAATGTCTCTGCCTGATGGATGCTGGTGCTAGTAAACTTGAGGATGATATTAATAATTTTGTTTCCTGGAACTCTGAGTTCTGCTGAAAGCTGAACCTTCTGACCAGCAGAGATGACTGATGTGATAAGGCATTTTGTAGGAACACCCTCTTCACACAGCTTTTGCATAAGGTATGGAAATTCCATTCAAAACAAAGGAGCCACATCCCCAGCAGCAAATTTTCCTGCAGTTAGAGCCCTTCCATGGAACTGATCTTTCTCAGAAACCCCCATAGTATGCAAATAAATGCTGAAATGGTTTGGTTTCCTCTTGAACAAAGTGCATCTTTTTGAGCTTCCCATCTGGCTTACGAGGCATTTGCTGAATAATTTGTGTCAATGTGGCTTTCATGTATTGATCTAAAAATACAAGTGCTAACAACGTTGGTACTGTCAGGCCCTCCCTGGCTCTCGTGGCTCAGTGAATGGAGCTCAGAGCAGTGATGGTTTGGCATTCAGGATTGGCTCCAGCACCAGCACTTGGGAAATAATGATTTTCAAATGAGCTCAGAGTTGCACTCAGTGAACTGACAAACCCACAATCTGTAGAAGTTCCATAAACAGGGGATAGTTTTGACTATCCAGTTGGATCTTATACATTATGTAGATTTGAAGTGTCTACTACTACAGGGGAGAGAAAAAATGCTGCTGCTTTTCAGTGGTGTGTCAGGCAGTGCTGGAATACTTGTGTTTTCACAGTGGAGAACAGTTTTAAAAGGAGCCTGTTAATTTGCAAACACTTATTTCTGGACTATGATTACTGCAAGGTGAGTCAAAAATGTAGACTAATCATTTTTAAAGCGCCTCAGCTGAGAGGATTTATTGTGTTCCTTCTGTTGAGGCTCTCCAAGGCATGTGGCTGTTGATGGGCACAGATTGTGTGTGTAATAAAGATGGCACAGCCATAACATCCTCTGCTCATTGAGGGAGGCAAATCGGTTGGACTTGCCTTCATTTGTCGTAAATGAGATCTCTGGATATTGCATTTATACGACAAACCCCTGCAATTAGTGCCCATGAATTTGGGCACATAATGTTAATAGCACCAGTACTTGAAAGTAATCCTAATTCTTGAACTGCTTCTGTTCTTAGTGATACAACTGAGGGACTGAAGGAAGCTCATTGGCCATAAAATGTGGATTTTTAAACCATAGACCATTCTTTATGTTAGCAGTATTTGCAAGCATCATTTCTATTTGAGGGAGTGGTGGCTCTTTGCAACATCTGATAACATGTTTGTGTAAGCTGTTTTGCTTATTTTCACATGGTGAAGCCAAACCCTTGTTTGTTTATGTCACAGCAGGTGAATATCCAGGTGTCACTTGCAAATGTGACTAAAGAATATTCCATGTAAATCAGATACCTAACTGTCCCTCTTCAGGTTACTTTAACGTGGTAGTTCTGTTCCCCAAAAGAAAAGACATGAAAATCCTAATTTTGCATTGAAAAATGAAATAAAAGCACAGACACAGCCCCCAAACCTGCTGTTCCTTCCTCTCTGCCCCCTGAGCACAGTCATTTTCTGCATAGGTAATTCTGGGATGCTTTTCATGTTTGGATGGAGATAAATACATTCCTTGTATACCTTTCAGAGGTGAAGTTTATGTCTCGTTTAACTCTAAACTTCCAGCTATAAATTGGTAACAAACTTTCAGCAGTTTATTTTGGGAAGCAAAATACTTGTATGTGATAAAACAAATACCATGAGACTCGTCAACTCTGCAGAGGAAATTTCCATCCTGAGGCTTGAACCTCAAGTTTACAATGTTTGACTTTGCCTCTGTAGCTTTTCTGAGGAACCATCAGCAATACTTGTGCACAGCTCATCCAAATGCCAGTTTGCTTCTGCCCCAAGGCTGAGGGAGACAAAGAGTTGCTTTCTTTGAAAATTCTTCCCTCTGTCTCAGAAGATATGTAAATTACCCCATTTACTATAAATTACTATTGTTGTCTTGCCACACTTGTGTGCAGAATATTGTAGAGTGATCAGCATTTCCAGACTTCTCAGACAAAAGTCCAGACAGGCTGAAGAGGTTTGTTTCTCTTACCTTCTTTCACAGTGTTGGTTTGAAGTGAAGTTCCTGATCTCAGGTGCTGCTTTGGTCATAGCAACATACAACTTGAAACCAGTATAATGTTTGTGTTCCTCAAATCTGGTAACTAAATCATGACTCTGCATCAGAGCAATGTTAACCTAACGTGTTTTGGTTTTTTTCTTGCAGTGATGCTACAGCCTTTTGACTATGACCCTAATGAGAAAAGTAAACACAAGTTTATGGTTCAGTCTATGTTTGCTCCAGCTGATACTTCAGATATGGAAGCAGTAGTAAGTATTGAAATTCATTCAGATGGATTTCTTCCAAACTGTATCATTTTGTTAGTCCTTTTACTGTGCTGCTTCAGGGCTGGGGTCAAACCACACTGGAATGATCCTTGAAAGCTTTCCCAGATTCTCTGTGTAAGGTGTTTTCTGTTTATTCTGAGCCCAAGGAATCTTGCAGTGTAAGACAGTTGGGATCTGTGGTAGCTTCCTAAGAAGCTGCTGTCAGTAATGGGATGCCAAACTTTGAAACAAGTAGTTGTAGTTTTTTGCCATATATCCTTTTTTTTTTAAGAAAGGCTAACTTGAGCTATATATTCTAAGAATATGTAGAATATATTCTAAGTCTGTGGCATCTTGTATGTTTTATGCATCTACTCTGTCTTAAGTCTTCCCTTGAGCAGCTTCTTTCCCTGCAAGAAACAAGAGGATGATTTACAAGTGCTGTGTTTTTCTTTTTCCCTGCCTGTGTCTGCTGTGGCTTAGGTAAATGAAAGGCCCTCAGAGATTTTGACTTGTGGATTACAAGTGAGAGTGGCAGACGTATATAGGTACTGAGCCAGAGAAGGACAAAAGGTACATAAATAAGATGTCAGGTTACAGTAGGGCAGCCTGGAAAGGAGCAAACCAGTCTGTCAACTGCTGACTTTGCCTTACCAGCAAGATTTGCTGCTGCAAGAAGGCACAAGGAAGCTTCTCTAGTCCAGCTTTTGTTAGCTTGAGAGAATAGTCAGTAGCTATTAAGAGCACAGTGAACAAAGGGAACGGACCATGACTCTAAAGTGTGGAGCTGGTATGTGTGTGTTACTTAAAAAATGAAGTCAACCCCCAGAAAACTCAGAGTGCATCTCATGGCTTTTTTTACACTAGTCTTTACAGTATATGACTTCTTCTGAGTAGCTTTTTGAAGCTGGGACACTCTGTAGGGTTAATAACTTCCTGTCTGAAAAAGATTTATGGAACTATATTTGTTTAATGGCCTCAAAATAAGATCCAGTGGGAGAAACAGCAATAGCAATAAAACGTCTGCATCACTAGAAAGATAAGCCAGGCTGCCTTTCTTTGGAACTCTTTAATTTTTATGAGTTACTTTATACCATGAAAAATGTTATTCTGCTAGCAGAGAATGTTTTTTAGTACCTAGATGAGCCTTTCAGTTGTTCCAGAGCTCTCCAGACCGATACGAGTTCTTTTTCTGTACCACTCTGCTCAGTTCTCAGTTTTGTTGCCACTCTCCAAATCTCTTCCTATTCTGGATGAACAGGTGAGACCAGTTACAGGAGTACTATAAAGCTTTCAACACTTCACAGGCAGCCAACGAGCTCGAAATAGAATTCTGACTTCAGCCACAGAAGAGCTGAAGTACAAATCAGCTATTTCACATGAGTTAAATACTACTTCAGGTTGCTCAGGGGTTAGCCATAATTTGACACCTACTTGAGATATGCTGAGAATACCAAGCTACCAGGAGTATGCTCAGAGTGAAGAGAAGCACATGAGATCTCCAGGATATAAGTGCAGACACTTCTTGTATGTGACTACTGGGAATAAATCACTACTGGGAATAAATCTTCTCAGTTCAGGGTTACAGCTGGTACTGAGCAAAGATTTATAACTGTTAATCCCTATTAAAAATATTGCAAGGGAACTTGTTTATGGTTGACTCCCTAGTTGGAGGGGAGAGGAGGTGAGAGGGGAAGCTCTCTCTCTCAGTATGCAGCACATCTGTTGTTGTTCAGGCATTGATGCTGGAAAATTAAGGAGGGGGGAAACGAGGGGGAAGAACAGTCGTGTAGTTCATATCAGTTGGGAAGAAAAGCTCATGTGAAGTTTGAAAAGCTTAAATGGGAACTTCACCAGGCAAAGACTTGAGAACCAACACTGTGATTGGTTTGGGGGGTTGTTCTTTCCCTTTGTTTGGATTCACCTCTCCCTTTTTACCTTACCCAGGCCCATAGCTCCCCCTGTCTCTGCTAATTACTCTGACTCAGCTCCCAGTTCTCTCATAAATTACCTGTGGAAGTTTCAGACTACTTAGAATGATTTACTTCATAATATCTGCTCTGTCTTTACAGTGCACTCAGTTACATATTTGCTTTCATTTTTCATTTTTCATGGGTGATGGTAGCATGAGAAACACCTGTGGGTTTTTTCCTGCGTAAGATGATGGGGTTTGTTTACAGAACACACTGCATTTACCTTCTGCCTTGTACCAATGTGTGTAATGTTAAACTAATATTAAATTATTCCAGTGGAAAGAAGCAAAGCCAGAAGAACTCATGGATTCGAAACTTAGGTGTGTGTTTGAGCTACCAGCAGAAAATGATAAGCCTGTGAGTATTTTCAGATGCATATTGAGTGTATTAACTTAATACCACAGTAAATCCTGTAAAAATGGCATGTTTACACAGACAGCTCTATCAGCAACAGACAGAACCTTCTGTCTCACTGCCTGGATGGCATCACCCTCTGAAAACACAGTATAAACTATTTCAAATCTTGGTAATCCTTAGTGTAACTTGCAGCTTATTTGAACAATGTAAGTGCAACACTAGCACAAGTATTAACTTAATACCACAGTAAATCCTGTAAAAATGGCATGTTTACACAGACAGCTCTATCAGCAACAGACAGAACCTTCTGTCTCACTGCCTGGATGGCATCACCCTCTGAAAACACAGTATAAACTATTTCAAATCTTGGTAATCCTTAGTGTAACTTGCAGCTTATTTGAACAATGTAAGTGCAACACTAGCACAATCTT